CACTTTTGCTTTAAGGTTAGCTTTTTTTTTTTGAGATAGAGTTTCACTTTGTCCCCCTCAGTAGGCTGGCCTGCTGTCACAGCTCACAGCAACCTCAAACTCTTGGGCTCAAGAGATCCTCTTGTCTCATCCTCCCAAGTAGCTGGGACTGTAAAAGTCTATCACAACATCTGGCTAGTTTTTCTACTTTTAGTAGAGATGGGCTGATCTTGAACTTCTGAGCTCAAACAACCCACCTGCCTCAGCCTCCCAAAGTGCTAGGATTATAGGTGTGAGCCACTATGCCCAGTTAGGTTGCCTTTTTGATACATAATAAAACATTTTATTTGCTCATATTAGCTGAAAAAGTATTTTCCCAAAGGTCAGCTGTGTAACCTTTTGTCACTTTCAGGTCAAACAATTATGCCAAATATACATATAAAACTACTATATTGATAGAAGAGCACAAACTATGCTGTATTCAGTTGGACTTCTGGAGAAAGAATTATTTTTCCCAGAAGAAATGGACATCTTTTAGTTATTAACAGGCATTTCCAAATTTTGCTTCCCCAGAATATTTAAAGGCAACATGAATGTAATTTTCATCATAACAGCAATCCTAGTGGCTAATAGAGCTAGTTTCATTTTTTGGTCTTTCTTAGTTTATTCAAAACTCAAATGCAACTAAAATTATGAAAGACCAACTTATAATTCCTTGGTTAAATGCTTTAGTGATTCTAGGAAATTCAGTAGCAGTACTAATCCTGCTAGTAACATTCAATACTTTCAAACTGAGGTATTTAAATAAATGTAGCAAAAAAAATGATAAAAATAAATTTAATCTGTATAATACCAAGTTGGATCTTCACAAACAGGAAATGGCAATACTCGAGTTTCTAGTTCTCAAAAACTCAATTTTATTAAACACTATCAGAGTTTATCTGGGTACAGATGGTCCCCTGACTTAGAATGGTTCCACTTTTTTGACTTTACTATGGTGTGAATGCATCTATCTATTTAATAGATAACTGCACTTCGAGTACCCACATAACCATTTTGTTTGTCACTTCAGTACAGTATTCAGTATTGCCTGAGATATTCAATACATCATTATAAAATAAGCCCAACGCTAGGCTAATATAAGTGACCGGAGCAGGTTCAAGGTAGATTGGGCTATGCCATGATGTTCAGTAGGTTAGGTGCGCTAAATTCATTTTCAACTTAAAAATATTTTCGATTTACCAAGGGATTTTTGGGACAGAATCCCAACCTAAGTAGAGGCTCGTTTGTATTTTAACACCAAATCCCCAACAATCTAAATACCGAATGTAGCTGTATGCTGTATATAGCCAGCCGCACCAAACTCCCTTCTATGCAAAATATCTTTTCATTTTCGTTTGCTCTGCAAAGTGCTTTTACTTTTATGCTATCAAAACTATGACAGCGTTAGCCTCCCAGTCTTTCCCCACTGTGTTATTTCTGTTCCTAAGAGGTGGAAGGATCCGGCAGGGGACCCTGTAACTAGCGCGTAATCTGGGGAAGGAGATGGCAGGGGACTCTAACTAGCGCGTAATCTGGGCCAATACCAGTAACATTCCTGGGCCCGTTTCCTGAACTTTAAAAGGTGACTTCCAAAGTCTTGGAATTCCCTGTCTCAAGGTTGCCAAAATATGCGTTGGTGGCCCACAGTCCAGGAGTATTAATAATCTGCATTTCTGCAGTACGAAGCCACATCTTTGCAGTTACCTGTTACTAACATGCCTCAATTTTTTTCTCCCAGAAATCTCCCAACGTGATTTTGATGTAAAATCTACCTAATATAGGCTGGGATGAAAAAAGTACAGTATTGTAAGAACTAGGGATCAAATGAATGAGTCCTCAGAGTCACGTCCCCTAAACCTAACGCGGACGCGGGTGGCTTGGGGAGTTCCGGGAGAATCACACTCTGAAACTCAGGAAGGGACACGGAAAGACCACCCGACCTGGGGACCACGCAGAGGAAGAAAACATCTGGGTGGGAAGAGCAACCGGGCGGAAGGGGCGGAGTCTGGGCTTCCGGGGCGGGGCTCAGACAGGAGAGAGGAGGGGCGGGTAAAGCTCTGCTCTCAGTGACGCGTCCACCCACCCCTGGGTCCGGCTTCACGTGGTTATCCTCGTTCGGCCCGGCAGGAAAGGTTGGGAGCGCCGGGCTGGAAAGCTAGAAGGCGGACGCCCAGTGCTCTTTTTCTCCACTTGGGTACCGTGGGCTGGGCTAGAGGCCAACTGTCGCGGCCTCTGCGATACTAACGTCTCCTAGCAACGTGGAGGCGCGGCTCTAGCGCCCAGCTTACTTAGGCCCCACCCAGTTCAGGCAGGCCCCGCCCCCCGGAGAGGGCTTTATGCGCATGAGCGAGGGAGAAGCTGGTTGGCTGACCGCGTTAGTCAAGCCTCTGGAAAGCCTGGGGCGGGATCTTTACAGTACTTAACCCTGTACCCAGGTGGAGGGGGCAATGGGTTATTTGCTGCTTCTTGAATCCTAGACCACGTTGCCGGAACGGAAGACTACTGGTGTTTCTAATTCCTGATAGTAGATATCTCCTGTCTGTCCATTTTGTAGGAATTAAATGAACCAACTTATAGGGGTTGGTTATAGTACCTGACAATTAGTAAACCTACAATAAATGATATCAATAGCTTTAATTATTGTCCTAACATTATCTTCATCATTATATGTAAAATACCAGCTACTTTAGTGGAAAGTGATCAGGTTCAAGATACACATTTTGAACGCAGGACCATCAGGATAGCTAATAAATTGGAAGAAGAAAGGCAGTGTTGTGCCAGAGCCAGTTCTTTACAGCTCAAGAGAATCAAAATTTGGGGAATTTTTTATCCCAGTTATCAAACACAAGTCAAATTAAAAATTTAATTATGTAAACGTATAATTAACTGAGTCATATTAAGACAAAATAAATACTAAAAACAAACCAAAAAAACCCCTAATGTATTTACTTACAGCTCCCAAATTTATTTCCTTAGCTCAGATCTTTTTTAGACTTGGATATTCAGCATTATTCAACAGCCCATGACCTCCTCAAACACTTTCCCCTGATCTTTTCTAAGTCTTTCCCTTCAGTAGATGACACCTCTTTCTCTTACTTTTCTCTTTCATCCCTCAATACACCAACATTGGGTTTATAACTGCCACCCAAGTCCAAGCCACTATCATCCCCCTGCCCCCCAGGGATTGCAATAGTCCCCCAAAGACCTCTTTTTCCCCTCCATGGTCACAACAATCAGCACAACAGTTAACTAAGCACATACTGACCAAGGGAGTCTCTGGGGATGCAAAAAGTATTGCCTATTTTTACTTGGTTCTCTAGACAAAACATGGAAATTGCAGAGGGTCTGTACCTGCTTAAATTCACAAGTGTCTCTATCCACTGTGAATTAGTACAGAAGCCTCTAACCCTGTAGATTTAGAAGGGTGTCTACTACCTACAGAGTAGCACAGGGGACTTTACCCTGTTAGATCCACAGGGCCTCTGATCCCTGTGAAATATAGATAAAGGCCATGTCCAATTATCAGTGGTTCTGTGCTTGGAGGTATTTTTCTGAATCTGCCTTCTCTCAGGTGTGGAGATCTTTGTAAATGCCACTCTTCTCTCCCCAGATCTGATGAAACACTTATAGCCCTGACAAAATGGTTAAAGGGTGTGGGGATTTTTGTGCCCGAGAGGCTTTTCTCTTGCTTTCCACGTAAAGTTTCCGTCAAGTTTATGTGTCTCTATATTCTTAATTCATATGGGGAATCCAGGGTCCCAGAACAGTTCCCCTGTATGGCCAAGGTCTTATTCTTCCCCTTTGCTCTGTCTCTGCGGATAGTTCCTTCCCTGAAATGGACAACAAAAAGTAGTCAGCTGCAAGAGCAAGCCCGCCACTAAAAGGGACAGATTAAATAAAAAACATCGTTTCCCCACGCGTAATAAAGAAATACTTTGAAATAAGAGTGGAGTGTAGCAGCATGGGGAAGCCATAAAGAGTGGGTTATGGGCTTCTGCGTGGCGTGGGAAAGTCCCCTGCCAGTTCTCTAGGCTGGAGTCAGCCTGTGGCAAACTGCTTGGATGTGGATGGCCTGAGGAGTGCCCTCTACCACCCGGTTGGGAGGAACCTCAGTCGGCCATATGGAGTGAAGTCATGCACCTGCCACTGCAGAAGGGAAAGAGGAAAAAACCCTCCAATCCAGTCTCCAAGATGACAGCGATTCTCACCAGGAGTAATTCGGGGTGGCTCGCCATGAAGGAAAATGTCACCGGCCTAAAGGTTCTTGTCAATGTGCGGAAGGGAATTTCAAGATTTGCACACAACCAACAGTGGCAAGTTTATTAAGTGAGAATGGACAGGCTTAAGAAAGGTTTGTGCAGAAGCCCCCCAAACCCCACGTGGTCGCTGTTTTTGTTTGTTTGAAGTCATAGCAGGCTGGGTGGTCAGTGTTCATTCTGTTCTCACTCACACATACGTGATGAGGGGGAAGGTCATTTTGTATAGTGTAATGCTGGGTAATTAATAGCTCTTTTCTTCTCAGGGCTGTTCGTTCCAGCCAGTTGCCTGACTTTTCTGTGATTACCTGCTCTATCCAGGGGAACTAAGTTACTAAATCTATCGTGAATCAGAAGTAACTTTCTACTACAGTCCTCAGGGTCAGCTCATAGACATCGGGAAAAGAAGAGACAGCCAGGCACCCAGGCTCCCAGGACGGCAGGAGGCAAAGAAGAATGACCTCAAAGCTGCAGCTGGGAAGCCCACCCGCTTCCTCGGTTGGGGCCTTCTGCTATGGGTGTTTCTGTTGCTCTTGACCCGATTGCAACTGCACAGACACCTGCAGCGCTTTACCGCAGCAACACCTGCGTTTTGTTTGTCGATTTCCTGCAGTGACGAGATAACCCGCTGACCACCCCGACGCGAGGCCGAGCGCGCGGTTCCTCCCGCTTGTCTCTGCCCGAACTTTTAAACCCGAGCTCCTGGGCTCCGTCCCTGGCTTGCTCTGATTGGACGTGGCTGCGCTCGGCCTGCCAATGGCGAGAGGGCGCGCAAGTTCCCGGAAGTGGCAGTGCTGTAGGCGCCGGCGTGGGCTTTAGTTACCGGTTTGGGGTCCCCTGTGCCCAGGTTGCAGCGCTATGAGTTCCTTCGAGGGACAGATGGCGGAGTATCCGACCATCTCTATAGACCGCTTTGACAGGGAGAACCTGAAGGCCCGCGCATACTTCCTGAGCCACTGCCACAAGGGTGAGTGAGCGCTGCGTGCTGCCCACTCCCGGGGCGCGGGAGGTTGGAGAGAGAGGACAGGAAGGGACAGGCCCAGAGCAAGGGGGTGCAGGCTGTGGGAGGCCGGCAAGGGACTGGTCAGTAATCGTTGTCTTAGGCTCTTAAGCATCTCGCAGGCTTTATTTCCGGATCTTACAACTTGGCGCTACAGCGGTTCGCATTTGGGCACCGACTCTGGTCACTTTGGGCAGGCGCTGCTAGTAGGTTCTCTTGGTAAGCGCTTCAAGTGGCCCATAGAGGTTGGCGAAGGTTCTCTAGTTGTCCCTCATAGCCTCGCTACCAGGTATAAAGAAAAAAAATTCAGATTAATTTTGGACAAGCAGGCGCGATCATGCACACACTGTCATATCATACAGCCCGTGTGTGAGCTCCAGAAGGTGCACGCGCCGCTTCTTTTGGGTTTTCGATGTCTGCAGCCGATGGGAGTGATTCCTTCTGGTCTTGAATGGCAGTATGTTTACCTTATCGATGGCTTTAGGCTATCAGAATACTCTACTAGGATTTCACAGCTGAACTTGCTTAGGGATTAAGTTTAGAGAGTCACTTTTAAGGATATAGGTTTAGATGCTCCAGGCAAGACTGGAACTAATCCCCAGAGTTTAAGTCCTGCTAATTTCACCCCCATTGTCCACTTTTAACATCTATTATTATTATTCTAACAAATAAGTCCCTAACTTTACCAGTGACTCTGGCACTGATTGGAGATAAAGATGAACTGGTGCAGTAGAGTAGCTGCCTCTGGCCACCTGGCCTTCCAGAGAAGCTTGAGTAGCTCCCTGACCCCATGAGTCAGTATAACCAACCCATATGCAAATGCACAGAGCTTTAGGGGAGAGTATTTTAAAGGGAATTACGCTTTTCAAAACACCACCTTCCCTCAACTGTGTTGGCATGGTGGTGTGGGTGGAATCAACCCCACGTGGTGTAAATATAAAAGCTGAACTTACTACCGGTATTTCTGGGAAATGCTTCTGCTTTTTCTGCTCAAAGCCACCAATGATTTTAATGAGAAAAATCTGGACCACTTCTCGTGCTTTACCAAACAGCAAAAATATTTTGGAGATCTTTCTGCTTATTTTTGGGAATAACATTGTTGGTTTTGTTTTTCTTTGAGAGTCCACTTCTGGATCTGAGTGCCCTATTTTTACTTTCTGTGTTGAATCTCAGTGGAGTCTCTGAACTCAAAATTTGGTAGCCACGATTAAAGGATAGTTGGAATCTTGCTGTTCACGTTTAGGAGTAGTGGGTTTGGAGAAATAATTATTCATCTAAAGGAATTTGCTACATCCTCATCAGTTGGTACATTAAGCAAGAAATTGACTCTTCCTGACATTGAGGAATTTTTCTGTTCTCTAATCACACGTGTTTACTCAAGCAGGATGTAAACTCATCAAGGGCCAAAACTCAGCTTTTGGAGATGTCCTGTATTGCCTCCTGTTGGATTTTAAACCTTTTGGGGGACACAGACTCTTTGATTATGCCGTAGACTAGACTATCTCCCCAATATATGCATGTTGAAACCTCATAGTGACTGTTTTTGGAGCTAGGGGCTTTTATGGGGTTGTTAAGGTTACATGAGGTCATGTGAGTGAGGTCCTACCCTGATAGGATTCATAGCCCTATCAGAGGTAGAGAGGCCTTACTCTTTTCATGCTCACACACTGAGGAAGGGCCTTGTGAGAAGGTGGCTGTCATAGACCAGGAAGGGAGCCCTCACCAGAAACCAAATGGATCCACAACTTGATCTTGGACTTCTCAGGTTCCTGATACGAGAACTGTTTTAAAATATAAATTTGTATTGTTTAAGCCATCCAGTCTATAGGATTTTGTTATGAAGTTAAAGTAAACTAATTCAGAATATCTGAAAATCTCTGTGGCCTCTTTGGCTATAAAAATGCACATAAACACATTTGCATTGCCCACTCCACATTTTATCACATTTTGATAATAAACTATGATCACATTGATAAAATGTGGAGTGGGCAATGGGCCTACTTGATAAGCATTTTGTGGACCATGTAGAACCGAGTGCTGGGCTCAGTGTGCTAGACACTGTTGGTCAGGTTCAGAGGATAATGAGACCTGTGACCTGAGATAGCAGCCCAAGGTTGGGGAAGATTCCTGGAGGGCATAACTAAAGATGATTTATTCTAGTCAAGGGAAAGGAGAAATGGCCCTGGACCTTGAATTTAGTTCCCAGCAGCACAGTCAGCTCACTTAGGTTCTCCTGAGCATCAGTTAGGAAGGGGCCTCGGGGCAGTGGGAATGGGGGCAGGATCAGGCTAGAGGGTGCTGCTTGCATAGTTTGGCAGCATGGTGCAGAGTCCTGACACAGCTTTCTTTTGGCCTCTTTGGTAACCCCAATTATGGAAAGTCCAGCCCTGGGATTACCTATAGGCTCTGAAAGACTAGACCTTGTATAACCTCTGGGGGACAGGTAGCTTATCCTATGTGGAGGTGTGACACGTATCCAATCAAGGGCTGCCAGGGGATGTGTGGTTTTAGTGCCAACTAAAACTGCCCTGTTTTAGTTTAAGCATCATCATATACAGATGAGAGAGAGAAAGTATGTATGTGTGTGTGTGTGGTGGTGGTGGTAATTAGAATTGGTTTGATTTAACTAAATAATTTAGCAGCATTTGGTCCTTGTTGTCTTGGCCTTTACATGCTACAAAGTATATTAGATTACACTGTATATCTAGCATACTGTTTTTTTGTTTGTTTGTTTGTTTGTTTGTTTTTTGAGACAGAGTCTCACTCTATTGCCCTCAGGAGAGTGTTGTGGAGTCACAGCTCACAGCAACCTTAAACTCTTGGGCTTAATCAATTCTCTTGCCTCAGCTTCCCAAGTAGCTGGAACTACAGGTGTTGGCCACAACGCCCAGCTATTTTTTTGTTGTAATTGTCATTGTTGTTTTAGCTGGCCGGGGCTGGATTCAAACCTGCCAGCCTGGGTGTATGTGGCCGGAGCCCTACCCACTGAGCTACAGGCGCCGCCACGTACTATTCATTTTCATTGTTAACTTTCTGTGTTCATCTTCTCATGTCTATTAATTAGGGGGGCTAGGGGCAAGTCTCTTGAATAGTCAAAATGCACTGTTCAACCCAATAGTCACAGTAGGCCAAGGAGATGATGAACCCCTTCTTATTCTGGCCTAAGCCTGAGGGATTTCCTAGAAGACTGCATGGACACAAGCTTGAATTTTTAGATGGACTAACTTCAGTGGCAGGAAGTGAATTGGTCACTCAGAGTGAGGCTGGAAGGATGTTGGGTTGATAATGACAGAGAGAGTAAAAGGATTGGAAGCCTTTCTCCTTCCTCTGGCTTCTCAGGGTGACTTAAACTCTGCCCCACATTGCAGGGTATCACTCTCCTTTTGGTAGCTCACAGATGGGCAACCTGTCCTGTTCTCTAAGAGATTCTTCGCCTGCAGAAGAGTCACTAGCCCATGTGAGTTATTTGTCTTATAAAGGAGCTCTCAGGTGTTTCCTCTTACAAGGAAGCTTAAAAAGAAGATAGCTAGGTTTTGTGGGGCTAAGGAATCCTCTGAAAAAAAAAGTTTATGATTTTCTGTTCTTTTGTTTTTAGATCACATGAAAGGATTAAGAGCTCCTACCTTGAAAAGAAGGTTGGAGTGCAGGTAATTTATTTTGCTCCGTCTTCGTCTGTGTGTTTAAGTGAATGTTTTAATTGAGAGATGGAAAGTCCATCCCTCATAAGGGCACCATCTGACGAACTGTTACAAAGTGAACACATCTGTGTAGCTTCTCCCCAGACCGAGAGCTAAAACAGTACCAATATCCCAGGCTCTCTACCTCCTCCAAAGGAAACCTGTGCTCTGACTTTTGCTATCATGGGGTACTTTTGGCCGTTTTTGAACTTTGTGTAAATAGCATCATGTCAAATAGACCTTTACAAGTATGCAATTCATCTATGATGAAATAGGCAGGAGTAACTCAATTCATTTTTATTTCTGTGAGAGTATATGTGAGAATAATTTTCCCATTATAAAGAAATCATATAGTGTAAGATTTTTCATAAACCTGAACTTTTGGGTTCTTTTCCTGCAACCATTGCCTAAATCTAAATTCCAAATTCTCAAGACACATAACCAGTGGATGTCAGTCTTTTCTGCTAATCAGTAGCAATAGTCTATGCTCTTGACAATGATGGCTGGTGTTTATTGAACACTTAACCTAATTCTGGACGGTATGTACTTCTAGTTCAGCACTTTTTCTGGGTGCCTATTATGGGTCAGGCTTTGTTCTGTAGGTTGACAATACACTAGTGAGCCACACAGGGGAAAGCCCTGCCCTTGTGGACCTGACATTACCATTACAGTCCCTTGACAAACTTTTGAATAGATACCCTTATTATTAATATTTTACAGACGAGGAAACTGAGGAACTGGAGAGGTTAAATTAGTTGCTCAATATCTCCCAGCCATTAAGAAGCAGGGCCAGGATTTCAACCTGGTCTTTCTGGCTTTAGAGCCAATGTATCAGTTATCCATTGCTGTGTGAGCAACCCATTGCTGAGTGACTTAAAGCAGCCCTGCTTGTGTGTCATTTCTCAGTTTCTGTGAGTCAGGAATTGTGACAGGGTAGAGAGGGGTGGCTGGCTTGTGCCTGGCTGGGCATGAGATGGAGCTGAGGTGATCTGAGGATTCACTCGTGTCTGATACCTGGTCTGGGAAGATGGCTAAGGGCTGGAACCTTTGGAGCTCCTTGGGCACTTTTGTCTATCTCCAAAAAGTCTCTGTGGTATGGTGTTTTCAGGATAGCCAGACCCAATAAATGGAGATTCCGAGTTAGAAAAGTCTGTGTCCCAAGACAGCCAGTTAGGTTGTCCTACATTCCATGATTAAGGCATTTACAGATTGCTCCGATTCAACGGGAGGGAGCTCAGACTGCTCCAGTTGGTAGAGGAATTCTGATACCTATTTTAAAAGAAGAGTGTGTATGGATGGAGCTATATAGTAGTGTGACCACCTTTGGAAAATATACTCTGCCACTGAGTATATGTCTAACCTCTAAACCAGTGCTTTTCAACCTTTTATCTCACTACACAGTTGAACCTGTAGTTGAACTTCTGTGGCACGCTTAAATTATGTTGATCCAAAAAAAAAAAGTAAAAGAAAGAAAATACTTACTGTGCTTTGAACTTCTTTTGGAAATAATTTAATTAATGATCTTTAAAAATTTTTGAGGTACACCTAAAATCCTCTCACAGCACGACCGTTGAAAATCTGTGCTCTAAACTCTACTATTGAATTTTTAAAGTCTATTACACAAGTTTGTTCATTAAAAAAAGTAATAGCATAGATTTATGTGAAGTAAAAAGCTGAAGTCTCTGCTCCCAGCTCCTCCTCCTCATTTTCCAAAGGCAGGTGAATGTTTGGTGGCATTTTTTCAGACAGACACGCCTGATCAGGTACAAGCCTGTATCTTTCACCATAGCAATGGTGAGGGACAAGTTTTTGAGGAGGTCAGTGGACATGGCATTTCCCCCTCTCTTAGGCTTTTGATGGGACTGAAATAGTGGGCGTATGTATGTTGGGACCCACCCTTGCACTTCCTGTGCCAGGGATCTGAGTTATTAGAGAAAACTGACATATAATGAAAAGTAATTCCTAGTCACCAGGATAGCTTATTTTGGATAGTCCTGAAACAGCTTTTTCTTTTTCCTTTTGTTTTCAGCTTGAAGGTTTGTTTATACTGTTCACCTGTTACTAAGGAGTTACTGTTAACCAGCCCGAAATACAGATTTTGGGAGAAACGAATTGTAAGTTTTATTTTTTGAATAACGTTAACTCTTTTTTTTTAAGTGGAAAATATTTTGAGAGGCAGATTGCAAAAGCACTGGATTATGCAAAACTCAATTCCTCACATGCTGTAGTTATCCACATTAAGAATATTGATATTTAGTCTTCTAAAATTCAGCAGTTTAGAAGAGGTCCCTGTATTGTTGTTATGGATATGTGGGGTTTTTCTGTTGTTGTTGTTCCTCAAGAGTTTGATCTAGGTCTTTAGTTTTGTCTATACTCTCATTGACTCTTTAGCTAAGATGCATTTTAATATTTTAGAGTTTAAAGTGATCATTAACATAATTGCTAAATCCTTTTACTTATCTATGATACAGAGGGGCTGTCGTAAGGAAGGGGTAACAACCGGAAGATACTAGTAGAATAGCTAACTTTCAATCTGGCAGAATTAAATGGCTCTAGCCAATGTAAGGTGGTATAGAGAAAAACAAAGAAGCAATATAGAAAATACAAAGAAGGCTGAAAAAAATCCTATTGTAACAGTAATTAATAGGAATGGATTTAATTCAACTCTTGATCAAAAACCAAATTCTCAATTTATGTTAAAAAAAATATAAGAAAACTCCAGGTTGAGTGTAGAGGCTGAGGCAGGAAGATCACTTAGGGACAGGAGTTTGAGATCAGCCTGAGCAGCATAGAGAGACCCTCTACCTTACAAAAAGAATTAGCCAGGTGTTGTAGCATATGTCTGTAGTCCCAGCTACATGGGAAACTGAGGCAACAGGATCATTTGAGCCTAGGAGCTCAAGGTGGCAGTGAACTGTAAGGATGTCATTGCACTCTAGCCCAGACAACAGAGCAAGATTTTGTCTCTAAACAGTTGAGGAAAGACAGACAGACCCATTAGTATTAGTCTACGTGAGACATAGATAAAACAAAAGGATCAATACAGGTTGAAATTGGGGTATGGAGGAGGGAGATAGATAGACTAAACAAAAACCCAAAATGCCAAAGTGGGCAATTTTATATCATATAAGTAGAATTGAAGGTAAACCTCATAAGGTTCAAAGAGGCTGTCATCCAAAAAGAACAATGGATCAGTATGTGGACATGTATACTGTTGACAGAATTGCATCCAACTGGATGAGGTAGAAACTGTCAGAATCTCTGCCACCAGTGCTTGAGAGAAGGGGAACCACAGTGAGCGGATGGAATTGGGGTTTATTGTGTGGATTAGACCATATATTAATATACTAGCATATTTGATAATTTGGACAAAGTAGATAAATATTTGGGAAAATTGGCAAGGCAAGAAAAGTGATAAACTTTAATACATCAGTAACCATCAAAGAAATTCAAACAGTTATCAAAGATATCTGGTTCTTCAACAAAAAGCCCCAGGCCCAGATGGAAAGGTACATTCTACCAACTGTTCAAAGAATAAATAATCCCTATATTAGATGAGTCTTTGTAGGTAATAATAAAAAGGTTAGTGGCTCAAATTTGCTAGCAAAATAGATAATGATAGTATACTGGGAAAAAGCCATTTCATATGTGAAAATATGTACACATGTTAGTTAAGGTTGTAACTCACTGAACCTATCAGTAATAAATAGTGGATCATGAATAAGATGTTTGATTCCAGAAATGTAAGGGTATTTTAGCATTTTAACCTTAGTCACTGTAAGTTTTATGACATCAGTGAACTGAAGAGATGAACAGTTATGCTCATCCATTCATCAGATACTGCAGTTAGAGAATGGGGCCTACACATCATGGGCTGTTCTGGCTTGTGTTCCATAGCACAAAACTGAACAGCTAGTACACATGATTACATGATTCACAAAGGCTCAAATTCAAAGGGAGAGGGGAGTGGGATGGTAGGGATGAGGAGACAGGAACGTTGAATTCATGGAAATGGGATTGTTGTGTCAAAGGAATTATATACCTTATAAGGCATTTAATACATTTTACAAAATCTGCTTCAAGAAAGGTATTTTTCCTTTATCCTTTTTTTCAAACTGTGAAAATATTTATTATAATGAAATCAGAAATTATTATACAGAAGAGTCTGTAACTTCACTTTTTTCTTTGTGTTTGAAATGGCAAAGACATACAAAACTGAGAAAAACTGACATATATATGATCTCTTATGTTATTTTTATAGATATCAATTGAAATTGAAACTCCTACCCAGATCTCTTTAGTTGATGAAGCATCGGGGAAGGTAATGAAATATTAAATATCATGTGATTTTTAAAACATTTAGTGCTAAATTTCTTAATTTTGAATGTTCATTTAACCAATAAAAATTTAGTAATTGGTGTATTTGAGGGGTGAAAACCCTCAAAGCATTTGTGATTGTCTTCATGGAATGCTGTTACAAAAGAACTATAGGCTGGGTGGTTTATATGACAATTTCTCTACCAGTTCTGGAGGCTGAAAGTTCAAGGTCAAAGCTCTGGCAGATTGGTGGCTAGAGGCTGGTTCTGGTTCTTTTCCCTACTTCTTGGTTCTTTCCCCACATGACGGAAGTGGCACACGTGCCCCTGTGGGCCTATTTTGTAAGGGCACTAATTCCATTCATGAGGACTCCACCCTCAAGAACTAATCACCTCCCAATGGCCCCACCTCCCATTAGCCTCATCGTAAGGATTAAGATTTCAACTTATGAATTTTAGGGAGACACAAACATTCAGTCCATAATAGTGATTTATTTATTTCAGGATTGGACATGAATTTTTTTTAAGTCAAAATTATTCCTTTTTTAGTATCACATGCTAATGATGGGAACTCTAGTTGTTGGTATTACTACATGGTGTCATTGTCTTATTACATTTGTTATAATAATGTTCAGGATATAAAATGGTGGGTAATATATTTGCAACAGATTTATATGCATTATAATTTTTTTCTTAATCAAAAGTTTTTTTCCAAAAAAGTTACTGCTAAAGGGGGTTAAAATTTATCCTTAAAAAAATTTTTTTTGAGATACAGTCTCACTTTGTTGCTCTCAGTAGAGTGTTGAGGCATCATAGCTCACAGCAACCTCAGACTCTTGGGCTCAAGTGATTCCCTTGCCCTCAGCCCTCCCCAGTAGCTAGGACTACAGGTGACCGCCACAACGTCCAGCTATTTTTTTTTTTTTTTAAGAGACGTGGTCTCACTCCTGCTCAGGCTGGTTTTGAACTCCTGAGCTCAGGCCTCCCAGAGTGCTAAGATTACAGGCATGAGCCCCACACCTGGCCTTCATCCTTAAATTTAGAGGTAGTACTGTTGTGAATGTGTTGTTTAAATCAGAAGCAGGACTATGGACCTGCTTTTTTCTGCCCCCCACCCCCATACCCAGGGCTAATAGGTATTTTCCTATTTTATCTAAGTAATATTTGTTCTGTAGTCTGATAATAACACATTGCTCTGATATGTTTAACTCTGAGGGTGTCTTACGTTGTATGAATGTGGTCAGAACAGAGACTGATTTTTTTCTGACATTTCTCCTTTGGAGAAGATAAGACCGTTGAAGTTGAAACATTCCTCTCAGCAGATCATCCTGAGGGAAGACCCCAGAGCTGGCTTAGGGTGGGTTAAAACAGGCAGGGAGGAAAAGATGGCGTCAGCTTTTCTAGATGCCATCCTGATCTCAGCTACCTGCTTTTCTAGGGAGTATTGTAACTGATTTGTGGCCTTGTCAACAGGGAGAGGGGAGGGGCCTTCCGCAGGCTGAGCAGCCAATAGCGGGTAGGCTCCGGCCAGTCTTGCTGCCCCTCTGTGGCCCTGCTGGTCTCTTTCTGTGCCCATGACTTTCATGCTTTGTTCATCCCGCACCAGCTGGTGGTGTGGCCTTCAGAATTAATATATTAAGACCTGTATGAGGAGTTGCTGTCACCAAGCACTGGGAGGGTGTGCAGGGCCCTCTGCACTTCTGCTGGCTGGAGAGGTGCTTGAGGGACAGTGTGACATGCACTGAGAGTGGGACCAGGCTACATGCAGGCTTGTTTCTTAAAAATGGCTTTACTGAGATAAAAGTCCGAGTCACAGAGTTGTATACCGGTCATCACCATCAACTGTAGATTATTTTCATCACCCCAGAGAGAAAGCCTGTCCCTACTTGGAGTCCCTTCTAGTCCTCCCCGAGCTCCTGACAACCACCACTGTGTTCAGCACTCTGTCCGATGTCTTCTGTCCCTGGATCATACGGCGTGTGATCTGTCCTGTTCCTATCTGGTTCCTTCCGTGGAGCAGTGTTTTCCGGGGCTCTCGGCCCTTCATACCTTCTCACAGCCAGATCCCGTCCCGTTGTAGGGAACATCACATTTTGTTCTGTTCGTCAGTCAGTGGGCAATTGGGCCGTTCCCGCCTGTTGGCTAGGAGGAATAATTCTGCTGTGAACATTCACATACAAGTGTTTGTGAGGACTTTGGTTTGCATTTTTCTCGGTTCTACAACTAGCCATGGAATAGATCAGTTTAATCGTTTATTGAGTGGACAAGGATTCTATTTGTTTCCAGGAATTGCAGAGTGAGAACATTGGGGAAGAAAAGGCACATTCTTGAGAGTTACTTGAATATGTTCTCCTAAGGAGGGCCCCCTTTAGCCGGGTCCTAATGATAACACCTATCATTTTTTTCTTTATTTTCTTTATAGAAGGAAGAGATTGTTGTGACTCTCTTACCAGCTGGTCACTGCCCAGGATCAGTTATGTAAGGGGGCTCATCTATTTTGCCATTTTATTGTTGTAGATCTGTATTATATTTGTAGCAATGCATTTTTAGGGTCTAAAAATTAAAAAGTAGAAGGAGATTTGATGATTTCTCTGGCTATTTCCTTAATCGTTGCAAATTGAACTTGGGGGATGGAGGTGAAGGTCAAAATTGAAACGTGGCTTGCTTATGGAAGTCTTCAACTGCTGTTCCTCCAATGACTTTGCATTTTCCTATCACGTGGAGTTTTCTCTCTGTGAATAGGAATGCTGATATTTGAGAGTGCTAACCTATCACATCTCTACAAATGCAGTGCTATCTCCATGCTGCTATTTCTTTCTACCCCAGGAAAGAGGCAACAGTTCAGTGGGTGGTGCGGTTTTAGAGCTATGGGAATTCCATTAACTCTGCTCATAAGAGAAATGTTCAGCAGGAAGCATTGGCTACAGATTTGTGGTGTGCTTGCTTTATTAGGGTTTTGCCTGATACTTAGAAATCACTGAGATGTGTATCCTTTTCAGGTTTTTATTTCAGGGCAATAATGGAACTGTCTTGTACACAGGAGACTTCAGACTGGCGAAGGGAGAAGCTGCCAGAATGGAGCTTCTGCACTCTGGGGGAAGGTACTGAGTCTCACACGGTTCTCAAATGTAGGGCCATAGTTTAATAAACTGTATTGCTCTTTCCCCACTAAACACAAGCTTTTGTTTCTGAGAGAAATCAAACTTGATTATGATATTTGTAATAGTAGAGCAGAATTTCCCTCATGAAATGGGTTATTAAATTTATGTGCTATTTGGTTAAGGCAGTAGTTATATGAATTTGTCAAAATTTTCTGGATCATTTATGGAAAATCTTTGTATTATTGTATGAACATTAAAACATTCCAAATGGAATGGAATGCCCTCTAAAATTACTAAGAATTTAAATTTTATGTAGAATTTTTATCCCATTAGATGGCTAACACCAGTTTTGTTTTGTTTTTCCTTTCCTTTCAGAGTAAAAGACATCCAAAGTGTATATTTAGATACTACTTTCTGTGATCCAAGATTTTATCAAATTCCAAGTCGGGTAAGTCTGCCCGGAAGAGTGGTGATGACTGGGGCACGGCTGTCTTTCTTTAAGAAAGTGTTTAGGGTGGCAGATCAGATCACAATTTTCCCTGTTGGCATGAGTACCTGTGATCGTCAGGAACAGAGCCTAGACAAGGCTCTTCATAGACATCTTACAAATCCCATCCAGGGGGAATGTCTGAGTGGAATCTTAGAGCTGGTTCGAAGCTGGATCACTCGGAGTCCGTACCACGTCGTGTGGCTGAACTGCAAAGCAGCTTACGGCTATGAATATTTGTTTACCAACTTGAGTGAAGAATTTGGAGTCCAGGTATGATAACTGTTCTTTTCTCTCCCTTCCTTCCATCTTCCCAGTTTCTCCTTGCCTTCCTCTCCCTACCCCTCAAATAACTGAACACAGTAGCAGGCGGAAGCTCAAATAACTGAGCACAGTAGCAGATGGAAGCACCTATCAGGACATTACTACAACAGAGATGGTGGGCCCTCCCTGGTGACGTCATCTTTGCTCCTCACATCCTCATGGGAGGAAATTGCCCGGAACCTATTTGGCTTATAACACTGGTCCAAGCCTTTTTAGGGCCTGGGTTCATGGAAGACAATTTTTCCACAGGGGAGGTATGGGAAATGAGTATGGTTCTGGGACGATTCAAGCACATTGCCTCTCTACCTCAGCTCGTCAGGCATTAGATTCTCAGAAGGGGAACGCAGCCTAGATTCCCCACAGGCCCAGGTTACAGTAGGGTTCATGCTTCTGTGAGAATCTGATGCTGTCACTAATGTGGCAGAAGGCGGAGCTCAGCTCACATTAGCTGTCACCAATGTGGTCATGAGAGTGGGGAGCAGCTGTAAATACCGAGGATGCTTCACTGCTCACCTCCTGCTGTATGGCCTAGCTCCTAAGAGGCCAAGGACTTCTACTGGTCAGCAGCTGTGGGGGTTGAAGATAGCAGGCTTCAGTGAAATGCCCCACAAAGGGGAAAATTTTTTTCCAAACTTTGGCATGACATAAATGTAGCAATTATAACCATCACTGAAATTACAGTTGAAGTAGGAGGTATCAGCATGTACTGTTTGCTATCAGGGTAATTACCATTTTGGAACATGTGCTTAGGAAACCAGACAGAGATGAATACATGTGCCTATGTACAGGTAGGCTGGGTTGTGTGGGCGTTGTGTTTCCCACTGTGGGTCAAGGGGCACACTGCCCTGGAGTGTCTGATGAGGGTGTAGCTGGGAGGGAGTTTTCACCTGCCCTTTCCAGTAGTTTCTTCCCAGCCTCTCAGGGCTGGACTTAGGCCCTGAGCAGGGAGCCCCTTCCCACAGCACTTGCACCAAGAGTGTGACTTGGACTTGTGTTTTTGTCCCTAAGAGAAGATGGATTTCTGATAATGAGTCTGAATAAGATGAACCACTTATTGGCCATTTAAATGAGACTTCATTTTGTCCCTTTTAATTTAGATTCCTTTAGCTAATAAACTCATGCCAAGAACTCAACATGGTAAGTTTTGGTAAAGTTGAAATGATCTAGTTTTCCTGCCTTGGAAATTGCAAAAATTCCTTTCTTCTCCCTCGCTCCCTCCCCCTCGCGGTTCCTACTTCCCACATCCTTTTTAGTTTCTTCCCCCACCCCTCCCTTTCTTTAGACTTATTGGTATAGAGTTGCCAGCTCTCCATTCTGGGAAGGATTTCCTTTCATTCTGAAATTGTCTTAGGTTTTGTAGGTGTTAAATGGTCTTTTAAATTAAAATCCCAGTGATAGTGGATTGTGTGTGTATATACACATACGCCTGTCTACACGGTCTGCTGTTTTTCCTCGTGCTTTCTTTTTGGCAAATTTATCAGCCCCAGATTTGTCTTGCTCATGTTAGTGGCATCTAGAATGGAGGGAGGAGACAAGGAGAAGCTCTTGTTCCACAGGAGATTGGAAGCTCTTGTTCCTCTGCCATGGGCAGAGGAGGGCCTGGGGTGGTGGGAGAGAGGCCTGAGGGGCTGACCTCAGCGTTTCCTCTAAGCAAATACCCTCGGAGAGAGCCTGTCTTAAGTCTCTTTCTCCCTTTGCAGGGGACAGAACAAGCTTAGATAAGGAATTGAAAATGGGAAAACCGAGGTTTTTCACTGAGAGACTTCAGTGATGACCTATGACAACTTTTTCGGCTTTCTTCACGTTTGTGAGCATGAAAGTTGCTGTACTTCTCTTTATACATCTTAGAATTTCCCCCCTTTCCTTCCTCCTTAGAAACTCAGAACATCAAATTCCTTTTTACTTTTGTTATTTTTTGAGATGGAGTCTTACTCTGTTGCCCGGGGTTGAGTGCTATGATGTCATAGCTCACAGCAACCTCAAACTCTTAGGCTCCAGGGAGTCTTGCTTCAGCCTTCCAAGTAGCTGGGACTATAGGTGCCTGCCATAAGGCCCAGCTATTATTTTTTAGAGATGGGGTCTGCGTCTGGCTCAGGCTTGTCTCGAACATCTGAGCTCACAACCCCCTTCAGTCTCCCAAATTGCTAGGACTATAGGCATGAGCAACTGCGTCTGGCCTCCTTTTTACTTTTTATTAGTCATTAATCAACAGGAAACAAGGGGCATGGGCTACAGGATAAAGCAATCAATTAGGCAGTTGCTCTGTATTCTTCTTACACCTATCTTGGTATCAGTTACCACAGCAATCTGGCAATATTCTAGCCTGTCTTAAACAAGAATTTTTTTTTTTTTTTTTGAGAGACAGGATCTCATGCTGTTGTACAGGCTAGTGGGCAGTGGTGTGATCATAACTCACTGTAGCCTCAAATTCCTGGGCTCAAGAGATTCTCTCACCCTGGCCTCCCTAGTAGCTGGGACTACAAGCATGTGCCACCATGTCCAACTAATTTTATTTTTTTAGAGATGAGGTTTGCTATGTTGCCCACGGTGGAGCTCTTTATTTTTTATTTCTTATAGTAAACTATGTACATTAATTCAATCACGAGGTACAGCGTGCTGTTTTCATATACATATACTCTCATCAAACTGGTTAACGTAACCTTCATGTCATTTTCTTAGTTATTGGTAAGACATTCATACTCTGCTTTTAGAAAGATTCACTTGTACCCTTGTAAGATAAACCAAAGACGTGACCCCACCAATCACCCTCCCTCCCTCCCCCCATCCATCCCCCCTCACCTCCCTCTCCCACCCCCTTCCCTTATTCTAAGGCTATAATCAGGTTATGACATTCCTATAAAAGCTATGAATTAGTTTCAAAATAGGGTTGGGTACATTAGATACTTTTTCTTCCATTCCTGAGATACTTTGCTAAGAAGAACATTTTCTAATTCCATCCACATAAACATGAAGGAGGTAAAGTCTCCATCTTTCTTTAGGGCTGCATAGTATTCCATGGTGTACATATACCACAATTTATTGATCCATTTGTGGGTCGATGGGCATTTAGGCTTCTTCCATGACCTAGCAATTATGAATTGGGCTGCAATAAACATTCTAATACAAATATCTTTGTTGTAATTCGATTTTTGGTCTTCTGGATATATACTTAATAAAGAAATTGCAGGATCAGATGGCAGGTCTATTTTTAGTTCTCTCAGTGTTCTCCAGATGTCTTTCCAAAAGGAACGAATTAATTTGCATTCCCACCAGCATTGTAGAAGTGTTCCCTTTTCTCCACATCCATGCCAACATCTCTGGTTTTGGGATTTTGTGATATGGGCTAATCTTACTGGGGTTAGGTGGTACCTCAAGGTAGTTTTGATTTGCATTTCTCTGATGATTAAGGATGGAGAGCATTTTTTCATATATCTGTACGCCATGCACCTATCTTCTTTAGAGAAATTTCTATTCAAGTCCCTTGCCCACCCTGAGATAGGATCGCTTATTTTTTTCTTGCTAATACATTTGAGTTCTCCGTGGATTCTGGTTATTAAACCTTTGTTGGAGACATAACCAGCAAATATCTTCTCCCGTTCTGAGGGCTGTCTACCCGCTTTATTTACTGTGTTCTTGGCTGTGCAGAAACTTTTTAGTTTGATCAGGTCCCAAAAGTGTATTTTTGACATTACTTCAATTGCCCAAGGGGTCCTCCTCATAAAATTTTCACCCAAGCCAATTTCAAGTGTTTTCCCTACACTTTCTTCTAGTATTTTCTTAGTTTCGTGTCTTAAGTTTAAATCTTTAATCCAGTGAGAGTCTATTCTTAGTTAATGGTGAAAGGTGTGGGTCTAGTTTCAGTTTTCTACAGGATGCCATCCAGTTAGCCCAGCACCATTTGTTAAATAGGGAATCTTTTCCCCACTCAATGTTTTTAATTGGCTTGTCAAAGATCAGTTAACGGTAGGTAGCTGGATTCATCTCTTGGCTCTCTATTCTGTTCCATACATCTACCTCTCTGTTTTTGTGCCAGTACCATGCTGTTTTGATCACTATTGATTTATAGTAT